CTGCAGCCTTGTGTRAGGTGCAGAATTAGAGCTGAAGAAGTGCAGCTCTTATCCTCAAAGTCACCTGCAGACTGACAAATGACCGACCTGAGGAGGGAGGACAGCCTGAGCCTTAAAGAGTCTGGAAAGAAAAAAAAAAGATGGTGGTGGTGGTGGGGTGATTTGCATTGATATATTCAGCTTCTGTTTTCAGTTTTGAGAATATGTGTGAAATTCTTGTTGCAGGCAGGCAGGGCGAGCCCCCCTCTTCTCCTCTGAATATGAAGCAGTGACCTCTAACACGGCTCTGATATGTTGTTGCCCACTGCAGCAGCCGCTTGTTGTGTTTGTCCTCAGCCTGCCTCGCACTTATCTCCCTCCACACGTGAGGAATATTTTCACATCTGTGGCAYAAATGAAGCGATGGAAGATTTATATTTTTCCTCCCTCTGACGCTCCTTTGTTTCTGCGCACAAACCTCCTGCTTTTGCTCCCTTTTTCCTCCCTCGTGTCGTTCAAAGCTTTCAGTGGAAATCCCTCTTTTTATTTTTCCATCTCACGTCACTGAGGATCACGTTTCAAAGTGTCTGCTTCGCAGGTGTGTGTGGGCGGAAGGATGCTTTCCTCTTTATACCAGATGCCTCATTATCTCCTGTCTTGTCCTTTTGGCTTCAACACCCACCCAAAAAAGACACTCTTTCCTCTTCATCTTTCCCCTCTGCTCATTCCATGTTTCCTTCTTTTTTTTCCCCTCCACAGGTGAAAATTTTTCCTGCAGTCTCCCTTTTGTCTCTGCTCTGCCACCTTCCCCCTCCCCCCCTCATTCTCCCTGCTTTCCCAGAGAAGTCGACCTGTTATCGGCAGGGTCTATGAATAGAACAGACCCACTCACCTCCCCAATATTGCCCAAGTATTGCTCTTGCCTGCCTGAATCACTTCAACACAGCCTCTAGTGCTCGGCTACGACTCTCTTTTTTTCTCCTGCAACAACACAGGTGTAAACCCAGAGTGTGTTAAAGAMGAATGTGTTCTGTACAAAGTGTTCATTATGATAAACTGACGATTGTACAAATAGAAACACATGCTTTGAGTTATTTAGCAGCGGAGATTTTAAATCTAGTTCATGGTCGGCTGCTTTTCAGCAGAAAGCAACTTTTTTCTTTCTTTCTTCGTTTTAAATAAGTCAAACCACAAACGGCTTTAATTCTCCAATCTTTCCAGAGCCGGGGAACAGCATGTTCTGTATTTTCATCCTCAGCAGTCAAGGCTGCGTTGTACCAGATGCAGCTCACAGATAAGAAGCCGCTGCCATCGTCGGTGCCATCATTCTTCCTGAAATGCTCCTAGAAACTCACAAGATGCTTCMTTTTCCATTCTGGGAGAACGGGGGCACTAAAAACCTGTTTACAATGCAGCAACAGCATCCTCCTCCTCCCAGCGTTTTCTTCCTTGATGCCACAGCTTCAGTAATACACCGGAGAACAAGGAGCTTAGTGGTGACAGCCCCCCCAAAATCCCCCCTTTCCACCGCACTGATTTTTGAATTAAGGAGCAGAGATTTCCACACCTCTGAATTGCATTGTGTTCCGGGGATAACACATCTTTTCATGCACCTTTTCTCTTGCAGTGTGCGCAGGCAGCCTCTCCTTGTTTGCACAGTTTTCCAGAGAATCTGGTTTGGATGAGGGTGGAGAATAAGAGTGATTGTTGATTTGAATTCCCTTTATGGAGGGATTTGAGGGGGGGCTGATAATAAAGAAAACCTCTAAAGAGAGGGTTTTATTCACTTCCTGAAAAGTGTTTTGGATTCCAGTTAGGACACTTGTTCTCTCCTCGCTCTGACAGATGTGGATGTCATGGAAAGATTGGAAAGATTTTCATTCCAGTGTGATAAAGAAAATTCCCTCCTCCACATTTCCATCCTCTCCCCTTTTTTTTCCTCCCCTCTCTCTCACCCTTGATCTTCTGTCCTCCAGAACCCTCCTGAACGTCCTTCGTCATTTTTCCTTTCCTCTCCCCGCCTCATTCCATCGCTGCACTGCTGTGTTTTGGCTTTCCAGGTTCCGCATTCCTCGGCACGGCATACCAACCTGCCTGTCGGACCGCCGGAAGAATTCCTGGCCTGTGATTATCCACTCGTATTTCACGCAGACAAACACACACATGAGAACAGACAGAAAGAGAGAGACAATAAATTCATGGACTGGTGGTTTCACTTTTTTATCACCTCTGAGGAGCAGTTCATTGTTTCTTAGTTCAGATATTTTACTGACACATTCCAAAACACTTCAAACGCCACCGATTTTCTTTTTGAAGGATCAATTTGTTGATTGTTTTTCTAATTTTACACGAGACCTTTTATTTAATTTGGTAAATAAAATATTACATTTGCTTGATTTACATTAACTTTTGAAGAACAAATGATTAGTTGAGATCAGCTGGTGGAGTTGAATGAATTATTTAGCTTGAATAATTAAGATGTAGATGTGTGTTTGTAAGCTCGGCAAAACGAGCGTTTTGTTTTTCTGGGAAGAACAAACTAGTTTGAAGCTCTTGATGCATTTAGAGCAGACACATTACTGCTGTTGCTGATGCACACACACACACACACACACACACACACACACACACACACAC